AATTTTTGCAAATATCTTCTCGCAAAGAATTCTTTTTCAATTCCGAATTTAGCGCTGCTGCACAACCGACCATAGGCTACGCAGTGAGTTATATTTGCGCTACCTTACCACTTCTGGTAGTAAGTTATGGTTTTTTAAAGTGAAGGTTTTCTAAAAAAATTCTTGGCAGAATTCGGGCTATAAGATTTTTCTCAGTGAAGCTACAACAACACAATAATGCATGCTGAGTTGAAAAAAGTTTGCTGATTACAATAATTCTTGTTGCACACGAAAAGACTTTTTGTGTGAAAAGTTATAATGATCTAAAGATAAAATTTAGAAAACCTGCATTAATTTTGTTAAAACCTAATACAAAGAATAGAAAATCGACAGAAATAATAGGTACTTTCAAGAACACTTATTACAATCGTAATCGGCATGCTCGCTTTTTCCCGTGCCAAATCCCAGTTTCTTGACTTAAACATTGCAAATCGATAAAGCCAGTGAAGGTAACTGAAATTGTAAAAAAGAACGTGTTCGTGAGCAGCATGCTCAATTACCTGCCTGTACCTGCTCGCTTGCTCCCCTTTGCCAACTCCCAGCCCCGTAGTTCAAAATTTGCAAACATTGATAAAATGATAAAAGTAATGGCCATTTTTGAAAATGGTTATCATATTCGTAATCAGCATGTTCGCTTACCCTCCTATGCCAACTCTCAACGCTGTAGCTCAAACTTTGGAAAAATCGATAAAATGATAAAAGTATTAGGTTGTCAAGAAAATAATGTCGTTTTTTATTTGCTTGCTTTGACAAAGCAACCAGACTCAACCCAGCAAAGGGTAAGGGGTACTGTTCGATAGAGCAAAGCAAGCTCTACAAGAAGGCACTCATGTCTTTGCGCCATGCTCGATCCACAGAGAGTTCGAACTCAAATTCTAAAGATTTCCAAACGCCCAGAAAATCGAAAAAAATCAGATCTTCGTCTAAATAATTTCTACGAACCTCCCACTCGCTCACATCAATACTATCGATATCTGATATCCATATGTGCGATTGCCGTATTTTTTCCTTGACTAGAAAATGAGAAAACGAAAATTTCCCTGATTTTCTCAAAGCAATGCTGAGCTGTTTTTGCATATGTAGTTCTATACTACAAGCCTGGGTAAGTATAACTGTAGATTTTCAGCCCATTCCAAGCGGTAGTTTTCGAAAGATAACGAATTCGGATTTTTTCGTTTCAGTTTCAGTGCTAAAATCGACATTTTTCGAAAAATACCGCTCGAAATAGGCTGAAAACCTACAGTTATGCTTACCTAGGCTTGTAGTATAGAACTACATTTGCAAAAACGGCTCAGCATTGCTTTGAGAAAATCAGGGAAATTTTCGTTTTTTCAGTTTCTAGTCAAGGAGAAAATACGGCAATCGCACATATTGATATCAGATATCGATAGTATTGATGTGAGCGAGTGGGAGGTCCGTAGAAATTATTTGGACGAAGATCTGATTTTTTTCGATTTTCCGGGCATTTGGAAATCTTTAGATTTTGAGTTCGAACTCTCTGTGGATCGAGCATGGCGCAAAGACATGAGTGCCTTCTTGTAGAGCTTGCTTTGCTCTATCGAACAGTACCCCTTACCCTTTGTTGAGTTGAGTCTGGTTGCTTTGTTAAAGCAAGCAAATAAAAACCGACATTATTTTCTTGACAACCTAATAATTGATAATTCTAAAGACTAATATTGTATTCGTAATCAGCATGTTCGCTTACCCCCTTTCGCCAAATCCCAGACCCATAGTTCAAAATTTGCAAACAAATTGATAAAATGATAAAAGTAATGGGCATTTTTGAAAACGGTTATCATATTCGTAATCAGCATGTTCGCTTACCCTTTTGTGCCAACTCTCAACGCTGTAGCTCGAACTTTGCAAATAATGGATAAAATGATAAAAGTAATTGATAATTCTTAAAACTAATATTGTATTCGTAATCAGCATGTTCGCTTACCCCCCTGTGCCAACTCCCAGCCCCGTAGTTCAAAATTTGCAAACAAATTGATATAAAATGATAAAAGTAATGGGCATTTTTGAAAACGGTTATCATATTCGTAATCAGCATGTTCGCTTACCCTCCTGTGCCAACTCTCAACGCTGTAGCTCGAACTTTGCAAATAATCGATAAAATGATAAAAGTAATTGATAATTCTAAAAACTAATATTGTATTCGTAATCAGCATGTTCGCTTACCCCCCTGTACCAACTCCCAGCCCCGTAGTTCAAAATTTGCAAGTAATCGATAAATTTGGTAGAATCAGTAACAAGTTTCCATAGTGCAAAACGACAGACACAAAAACATCGACCAGAAAAACACCATCGAGCGTACAGACAGCATCCACCAGCGTACAGACAAGTACACCATTCGGTTTTATATATATAGAAGGATAGCGCTCGCGCTCTTATGTATCTCATGCGGATACAGGCGGCAGCCTATTGGTTCCTCTTGCACCATCCCCATCAATTCTTACATGCTACAGTGACTCAGTGCAGGGGTATAGCAGCTGATCCTGGCCAAATCGCATATTGGCCAGAGTTTTATTCTTGTGTCCTTCTTAGTGTTCAAAATGCTCGTACTCAAACTCCACTCTTCTTCCTCTCAACAGATCTTTTTCGATAAGATCCAGAGGAATCTACACGATGTATGCAACTGTGTTGAATAGCTTTCAGCTTGTTGCGCCGCTATCGCTCGTACTCAGTGTCGTATTTACAAGCTTTGCTGATTTGGTAAGAGACTAATCTGAAAGTGGCTATCTCTGACGATCTAAGCTTTCATTATCATTGCTGTTGCTGCTGCTGCTATGCATATGCCTGTGAATTCATTTACGGCTATCAAGTCAAGAATTTTGTTGTGAATGGGTTTCAATGATCCCTTGAACGGAAATGATGTGGATCAAACACTTCAGGAATCGGATGAAGTTGACATTAATCGCCCATAGCCTTAGCCTAAAGTTACGACTTTTTCTTTCTTGTGCATAGCTATCCGAAAGGTTGGACATACTTCTGATCATGTGCTGTGCTATGCTTTCCTACATCTTACTGTACAGAGTTGTTCCGTTTTGCACCCAACTTTGCCACTAGTAAGTCGTTAAAAGTGTTCTTAAAGGCAGTGGGTCGGCAAAACTCAACAACTCAGGATTTTAACGCGATAGATTCCTTATCGCCCAAGTATGAAAGCAGGGCAATCCCCGTTGCACAGCATGTCTTCCCTACCGAGAAAATTACTCTCAAACCTACACGCGCAGGCCAATCTTACACGCGTCCGAACGAGTTGGAAATTTTCTTCTCACCATTGGAGGTTGCCCGCCGCCATGATATAAACATGGGGTCCGCGACGATTCAGCGTCATCAGCCTTGCTCCACTCGTCCAATTCCAAAGGGAAGGGCATCGAAAAACGCTCGTTTTCGCCGTTTTCAAGCTCTCGAAAGTGGATTTTCGGGATCAGCGTATTGAATAACCCCAGGTATGCGAAAATTTGACTAGGTTGGAATTTGCCGAGCCACTGCCTTTAAACACGTCCTCTTCGTAGGTATACCAAAATTCCTTCATTCATATGTTTTTTACTAATCAACTTCAGTAGGTTGTATCTTAATATGGCAGAAACTATTCCCTTTATTTGAGACATTGCGATGTTTTTTGTGAACTTCACTGCATTTTTTCAAATCATCTTTTTTTTCTCGTTTGACCGGGAAGAGGATTATGTTCAAATTATTTATCATCTTCTACCTTTCAAATTTTTGTTCACTTTGCTTTCACCCAAACCAGAGTTGTCATTTTCTGATCGGCCTTCTTTTTTCCCTACCTGTAATTTGGCTCATACTGAAATATCTAGATGATTATTTGTGCTAGTAGCGTTGCTTCTAAATATTCGCACACAGATCATGAAACGCTCACGTATCCGCGATCATTTGTATGCGTATCTAATCACTAGGTTAATGGTCTTAATTCGAGAAAAAAGTTGCTTGAATTCGTGCTGATGGTTCGTCATTTATGATCCTCTTGTAGATCTATCTTGACATTTTGATCTACAGTCTTTATTACGCCGTGCCGCTGATAATTTCATGTTGTCTACTTTGATATTGCAAAAGTTCACTTTTTCTGTACGAATCAAAGTTGTGGAAGGACTGCCAGTAAACAAAAACATATGGTTGATAATAGAGTATGATTTGGAGACTTTGTTCATTTTTATCTGTTTTCATCAAATCACATGTCTTATAGCAGCCACCCTATCCCAAACCTTGTCATAGTGTTCCACTTCCGCTTGCGATTCTCGTTTTTGCAAGAGGCTTAGAAGTGTATTATAAAACACTAATCACAACAAATTTTGAACATGATTAAAAAGGCGGTGGCCAATATGCATATCTTAGCTCCTTTTACCTATTATATCGGCACTTCAAATAGTCAGGTCCTGTTTCGTTAAGAAATGGCATATGATACATACGAAACTTTCTTATTTCCTGCAGGCATGTCCGAGGAGATTTGGGGGGGGGGGGTTCAATATTACTCCCCTCTTTTTCCTTCCGGTATTCGCGAAGCTTACTAATATGGTAAGGCGACTCTAAACCTTCGTCTAATTACCGTTGCACCATGTCTCTTTCTGAACAATTTGAGAAAGTCATTACACCTCGTGTAACGTGGGAATCCATCCATAAGATTAAGAAAGCGGTGCGATGCTTCCAGATTAGTCCAGAAACTTTCAATGATGAAATTCCTTTACATTGTCTTCCTCTTTTTAGGTCCTTTATCTTCGAAAAATTATACTTGTTTAACATATAACATACTTTCTCTCAAGGACTGATAACTCATTAAGCTCTGACTCAAATCCATGTGATCTCGATGTTGATAAGGTTATGTGCACTCTGATATTTTGAGCCTACCTGCTGAGTGCTAAGGGCGTCTCCATGTTTTCTAACCACGTATATTTTGAGAAAAAAAAATTCAGTGTAGGCATCAAATGCATTAACTATTGCAGGAAAGCAGCATTCCGCCGAGTCATGGGGTACGGGACGTGCCGTGGCTCGTATCCCTCGCGTCCGTGGTGGCGGTACTCATCGCTCTGGTCAGGGAGCTTTTGGTAACATGTGTCGTGGAGGTCACATGTTCGCTCCTCTGAAGGTTTTCCGAAGATGGCATCGTCGTGTCAATATCGCGCAGAAGCGTTATGCCATATGCTCGGCCATTTCTGCATCCGGTGTACCTGCTCTCGTGCAAGCTCGCGGGCACGTCATCGACAAAGTTGCTGAGATTCCACTCGTTGTCAGTGACAAGATCGAGTCGTTCCGTAAGACCAAAGAGGCCGTTACTTTCCTTCGTCGCTCCCACTTATGGGAAGACATAGAAAAGGTCAGTGTTTCTTTTTTGTTTTCTGTTGGTAACGCAAGTGATAAATTTCCAGGTGTATGCTTCGAAGCGTACCCGTGCTGGTACCGGAAAGATGAGGAACAAGCTGCACAAGAGAAAGCTTGGCCCGGTTCTTATTTATGGTCAAGACGCTGATTGCGCACGAGCTTTCCGCAACATTCCCGGTGTTGATGTGCTCAACGTTGAACGTCTGAACCTCCTCAAGCTTGCTCCCGGAGGTCACCTTGGTCGTCTCATCATCTGGACGGAATCGGCTTTCAAGAAGCTTGATGCCATTTATGGAACTCTCAAAACGAATTCGTCTGAACAGAAGAAAGGATGGTCTATTCCACCTAACAAGCTTACGAATGCCGATCTGTCGAGGCTGATCCGCTCAGAGGAGATTGTCAGGGCTGTGCGACCAGTAAAGAAGAATGTGAAGTCTGCAAAGGCGCATAGGAACCCTCTGAAGAAGCACAATCTCATGAACAAGTTAAACCCCTTCGCTATTACCATGCGTGCTGCAGCGAAAAAAACCGCTGCAAAGTGAATTGTTTTTTGTTGATAAATATTGTTATGTTACATTTTTATTCAAGACAATTCATCATAGTGATCACTGCGTAAGTATTTCTGAAGTGAATTTTGCCTCCTGGAATGCGGTTGGTATGCAGCTCGCGAGAAATCCATTTCTTCAAGTCTAAAAGTAGTAGCGATAAAGGCTTCACCTGCCTCTTGCAAAACTATGTACTCACGTAGATTCTCGCTCGAGCCTTTTCACATTAGAACTAGTGTTTTTTATGGCTGTGTCAATCCTACTTAATATATCCTTCACGCTCTCTTGTGGACGCTCTTCCTTCTTTTGTTGAGTGGTCGAGGGAGCTCGAGCATTGGAATATTGCTGGTCCACTTCAGCTGGATTATAGCTACCTCCTTCTACGGGAATGCGGATTGACGTCTTCAGATGTAATGCATCCATCGACCATAATTTATTTGCTCTCACAATTGATGATATCTAAAGGAAAGCGTATAGCGGATAACATAATGCGAGAGGTATTTTGGCTTACACTGCAATCATTTTTCAAGGCTATCCCTTGCAGAGTATCGTTAGGTTGTACATAATAAGTAATATATTTCTTTGGAAGAGACTCGGCACTTGGTGGCTGTGTAGTTCCATAGCGGCGGACCTTGAATTGAACAGTTTTATTAGAGAAATTGCGGAAAGAAAACGTCCCACTTTGTTATAACCGCACAAGAATGTATGCTCGTCTGGTTGACTGACGCTCGGCGCATAATAATAATTCATTCTGTTCCATTTTGAATTCAAATCCAGGGCGCACTTGACTGTCGTCTTTGCGGCGTTGGGTAAGAAAGACTGTAACAGGACTGCTTATGCGTCTGAAAAAGCTCGCAAAGTACAGACGATAAAGCAGATACATACAGCAAAGTCGAGCAAACTCTTGAGATTGAGTGGTATGGGGTTACAGCATTCAAGAAGTTTAGACATTTGCCAAATTAGGATCTTCGAACCGCAAAAGGAACTAGATGAAGACTCCATCTCCAAAAGAAATGAGGGAAGCACATTCAAGAACAAACTTTCACCAATTTGAGCATGCGTGTGGAACATTACAACCAATTCTACCTTGATTTGCAGTTTTTCACCGAGTTTTACTACTGGTGCGGGAGATCCTAAACCTTTCAGAGACAGTGTTCTGGCAAAGCTGAAGTTGCGAAGTCTCAATGGGATACCTTAGTAAGCCTGCACTAAGTATAAGTGCTTGCCTAAATGCCTTGCAAGATTTTGGTTCAGTGACTTACGAAGTGAAGGACGAACCATTAATCATATCTGATCGAGCGAACCGTACCCATACGGTACGAACGCGGAAAATTCGAAGCGGAAGCGCCAATTCCGGCAGTGTCCGCTTCGCTCAATACGTGTTGCATAGATTCCAACGCCTCGCGCCGTTGGAATCTAAGCAACACGTATTTGAGCGAAGCGGACCCATATTTCTACCCATCCTGACTGCTGTGCCCAGCACAAGCAACAATCTACTTTTGGATACAACATGCGGAGTGTAAATGAAGGATGTGCAGGACTAGACTGCATTTTCTGTTGCAAAGTGCAGAAGCGCCCCACCTTACAAGGGAAGGATGCTAAATGACAGCAACCATTCGTAATGGGGTACAGAACACTAGATGTAGCTTGAAACGCTGACTTCGAAACTTTTGAGCAATTGTTTGGAATAAACTATAAGCTGTCTTCCGCTTTCTTCAATGGGGGACATGGTCAGAATCTTTAACATCCAAGTTTTTCGAGCTCAGAATCAGTAGACACATCATCCAATGCCGCTATTCAATGTGATGCGGTTATTTTTCTGAAAGCGAAACGAGGAACTGAGCGATGTACCTACACACTTAGCTTGCCCAACATTGCAAATTCTTAAAACAAAGACATTGACTACTTTCCTTGGATAGTCGCTGTGCAGTGACGGCATATTGGCCAACAGCACTACAAGGCGTATAGAACGCACATATCTGAATACGTTCATCAGGAGGCCTTCCCTCTTAACATATGAATTTATTGTGGTGAAACGGCTATCCGAAAAAGGTCAAATAAGTATTGTGCTAGAATTCGAATTTGTTGGTCTTCGTTTCGAACAATCAAAAAGTTTTGCAGTAGGATGAATACCCCTGATGGCAAAACAGCTTCAATAAACTCAAGACCGTTTATGTAACTGTGTGCTGCAGAAATCTATTCCTTCTACTGTCCTTAGTCGAATTAACAAATGCAAATCAATGCAGGCTCGCCTTTGTGATGCTTTTGACCCTTTGTGATGCTTTTGACTATAAGGGCCGCATGCACTAACATGGGGAGGGGATCGCAGCTTAAAAGAAAACTTTATATTTTGAGACTCCAGATATCTGGATTTCACATTGTGTACCTATTCGTAAGTATTCCTACTACCCTTCACTATGAACATGTTGAAGAGGAGCGAGAAGCTGTACGAACCGCATTTTCCAGCTTTTGTATGATCCCTGATGATCCCCGGCGCTTTTCTTTAAAGTCATTTTTCTTTCTCCAAAGTTAACGAAAAACCTCCAAAGTTGTGCAGATTATCCAACCCGACAGTGCTAAGCATGTTCGTGATAAGAACAAATGATGTTTTGAAGTCATGAAATTTTCGATGATCCACAGGTTGATTTGAGATTTACCGAAAAATTCGACTTTTCAAAAACTCATTTGTTCTCATCAGCAACATGCTTAGCACTGTTGTGTTAGATGTTCAGTACAGCTTTGGAAAGTTTTCGTTAACTTCGGAGAAAGAAAAATGACTTCAAAGAAAAGCGCCGGGGATCATCAGGGATCATACAAAAGCTGGAAAATGCGGTTCGTGCAGCTTCTCGCTCCTCTTCAACATGTTCATAGTGAAGGGTAGTAGGAATACTCACGGATAGGCACACAACGTGAAATCCAGGTATCTGGAGTTTCGAAATATAAAGCTTCCTTTTAAGCTGCGATCCCCTCCCCAGCGGGGAGGTTAGTGCATGCGGCCCTAAGAAATTGCGATGGTGATAGCATTATCATTCTTCTTATAACATCAGCTATATGTTTCTTTTTCACTGCTCATCTGCGTTTTTCTCATGAGTCGGAGACTTTGGTACGGTAGAGTGATGCACTGAGCAGAAACAAAGTGAATCATCTGCAGTGAAAATCATCCGATCCAATCGAATTCTCTTCGACCACATCGAATGATGGCTGTTAAAGTAGTGGAAAGTACGGATGTCACTGAGATGCACTACAAGCTGTACCGTGACCTCTATCACTGAAAATGCAGAATGGAAAGAAAAGCGAGGTCAAGTACAGGAAAGGAAAGTGTGGTTTCTGATAACTGAACAAATTGGCAGATCCATTGATCTCTATGATAGTTTAGAGCAAAGTGGAAGAATGCGGATAATTAATGGCTTCACGCTCTCGGGGTTTTTCAAGCACATCTGGGCTGAGAGTATGACTGTAACCGATACGCTAGCGCAACTCAAAAAAAAAAAAGAAAGTGAGATTGCAAAATGGGCACCCTGCACATCGTTGTCCTACAAAGGAAGGGCAAAAATGCGCACAGGCAAAATAAAACATAAAGACAGCATCCTAACAAGTATATCGAGATAGGCGTATCGAGAAAGATGATATCGGGAAAGAGTAGAACAGAGAATGTATAAATAAAGCCTTTTGCGCCAGCATGGCACCATTCTGCTTATAGAGCGAAAAAACCGCTTCAAAAATCTCTTAACACGTCTTAATCGATAAAGGTTGTCAAGATGATGTAGTATCTCGAAAATTGTTAGATTAGGTGAATCTGTCCTGTAATTTAAATTCTTCCTGGATTCTATGATAAGCTCGGTCTCACAGCGTTAAATTACCAATTCAGTTTATTTTTCAACATTTATGATGAGTCTTCTTGCAGCTCTATGTCTAGCGGAAAAAAAAGCAATGTCATGTATTGCAAAGTATGTTATGGTATTTGTGCGTACTTTTGTACTCGATTCACCATTGGGTTGCACTTTTCATACAAGAGCCACCATTCTTGCTTTATAATTTGGAAGTGTTATAAACAAAATTTATATGCATTTCCAACAAAAACAAACGAACAATTCATTGAGTCGTTGCGCTATATTTTACAATACAATTACTTCTTCCGCCAAAAATATATTAGGTGGGTCCGAAAGTTCGTGCCGTTTTTTAGACCTGTTTTAAAATCGTTCAAAGTGAAGGTATACAAATCGTTTGAACACCATCCAATGCAAAATTTCTTCCTCTTTCCAGATGCTATATTTCCATTGTGACTGCTTCGACAAGCGCTGAGATAATTGCAGAAAACTAGAGCCCTTCATTTTTACCATGCCTAACTTTATCTTAGGCTTTTAGAGTTGCTTCAATAAACTTCTGATAGGCAAACCTTTTTCAAATTGATGCAATTTTTTTGCATTCTTTCAGCTTCCTCTTTAGAATTTTGCTGAATTATTTTACTAGAGCATTGGATCTTGAAAAAATCTTGTGACACATAATTGCACTAAACACTGCGAAATCCGCAAAATATTGAACTTCTAAAACTCGGTTATTACTATCCTTAGTATTACGAATAAATGAGCGACTACGGCGTGAAAATGGATAGATTTTGGAATTTTGACTACAGCTTTGCGGACCTGTAAAATTGGGAAGTACAGCGATTTTGTTTGCAAATGTCGCATGTTTCGCGAAGAAAAGGTAGCTATCAGAAAGAGGAGAAAAAGATGCATGAATGGTACCTAAACTATCTAAACCCTTCAACGACTGATGTTTTGCGAATTTAGATTGAGCCAGATATAAAATTTGGTTACTTTAGAAAATGTATTTTAGTAATTCTAGAAAACATGCCAAAGAGATGCAAAAAATTGCATTGATTTGTAAAAGGTTTGCCCTATCAGAAGGTAGTTAGAGCACCTTCAAAGGCCTAACATGAAAATTCTAAAAATTAGCGAAAGTCAGACATGGTAAAATGAGGGATTCTAGTTTTCGACAATTATCTCAGCGCTCGTTGAACGTTAACATAGCTGTTGAAAAGAGGAAGAAATTCTGTATTGGATAATATTTAAAAGATTTGTCTATCTTCACTTTGAACGATTTTAGAACAGGTATAAAAACGGCACGAACTTTCGGACCCTCCTAATAAAATGACAGTAAACATTGCGGAAGTATTAGAGAGTGCAAAAGTAATGCGCGATCTGCGAGTTCTTACTTTGCCTACATTTTTTAATGCCATAAAGACCATGAGAGACAGCAAACCTTTCGCAATACAGGCGCACATTCACCTGTACTCATATCACAAACGGGCAGACAAATATGGATTAATAAGCAAAAAAAAATTTTTCTGAAATTTTCCTAACTGATCATAACTCCCTTCGAAATTTTTTAGTATGAATGGTGAGTAGCTGGCCTGTAGCCGCAAGCCAATAGTACAAAGTAAGAATAAAAAAGGCTTGTGCAAAAAAAGATCTGCGAAAAGAAAAAAATACAATCTAAAAATGTCTCATTTTTTCAACAGTTTTTGTAGGACTCAAAGCCCCAAAATATGGAGTTTTTTGATTGTCTGCGTACTGGACAGCTAAACATTTTTGCAAAAACTGTCAAGAGGAGGCCTACCCTTATGCTTACAGAAATGAGCAGAGCTTTGACGATTGCCTTCTTCAAAAAAAAAAATTGAGCCACAGAATGACCAAACGATTACACATGTTGAGGCTCCGAAATCTGTATAGATAATGTCCAAAACAATACTAAAGTGTGCTGTAAACAACTTCCATTACATACAATTGCCAGATTTTCAAAAAAAAATGCCCCCATTCGTGCTTGATTTCTGCCCAAGAAGTAAAGCAACAAAATTCTGGTTTCGAGTGCGGTTGTGTGAAGCTCTCAAACTTCTAACGAGTGAGACTACTCAAACAATCAAAGGCTCTCAGCAGGCCCCACCAAAAGCTCCGAGCAGGCCACCATTGCCTTATCGCCTCACTGACGCTTCCCGCTGAGAACTTTTCTAAAAGTGGCAGCGAGCGGGCTACTATAAAGTCTTCAGCGGGAGGCGAAAGTGGCGGCGATAAGGCGCGGTAGCCACTTTCGCTTCCCGCTGAAGACTTTATAGCAGCCCGCTCGCTGCCACTTCTAGAAAAGTTCTCAGCAGGAAGCGACGGTGAAGCAATAAGGCAATGGTGGCCTGCTCGGAGCTTTTGGTGGGGCCGGCTGAGAGCCTTTGATTGTCTGAGTAGAAGCCCGTTTAACCACTATTGAACAGATTAATATGCTAGGTTTTTTTTTTCAAATAAGAAAGTTTGATCGAAAACGTTGTCCTGAAACAAGGGCTAAGAAACGCGCATTACTTTTGCACCAACCTAATACATGTACTATGGAACTATATGTCTACTTCATGTAAAAATCTGCAGGACAGTCAAGCGATTCTGAATCAAAGTCGCAACTTAGGAATTAGTGGGCTTTTCTCATTACGTGATCAATTTCGTGAAAACTACAAAGCGATGGCGTGCATTCTCATTAGGCATGCACATGAAGTGGTCTCATGGTAAGTATTATAGCAGAAACGAATCAAAAGTGATTTAGAGAAAAGACTAAATACAGGTTCAACCACAATAGATTTATTTGGAAGTGGAAGTCATTCCTACAACCTCTACTCTAGTCTCAAAATTATACAACAAACGATGAAAAAACTTGAACAATAACTTACGAGCAATACGCAGCACTGCATATAGTTTACTTAATGTACTTAACTTACTTATTTCACGAGTATAAGACGCGGAGGATTTTTTTCGAACAGCACAGACAAGCCGAAGGACTTCACGGCCAAAAAACTATATACAGTGCTGAATATTGCTCGAGAGTATCATGCGGCCTAAATCTCGTTTTCTATAATAAAGCAAGACGGCTGAACGGCTAGCTTAAAAAATCGAAAAAGGTGCATCCTATGCTCGTGAAATTAGGGTACTAGGTTTGTAATCCTGACGCGCTTATGCGAATCATGACTAGACGAATGAAAGAACAAGAGAAAGAGATTGAATGACGGGCGTTCCGACCATTCCAGTTATCGACGAGGCAGAGAACGCACGTAGAAGAACTTTCAAAACTTTTCGTTCCTATTCCTACGGTCTTGGAAAATGCTGGTTTTCTCCATTTTTGCGCTCTGCAAGGTGGATTTTCGGATTCTGGGTGTCGAATTACCCTAGGTAAGCAAAAAACTCCAGGTCGAGGATTTGCCGAGCCACTGCCATTAAGCTTTATTTGCGGCTAGACTTATGCTTATCTGGAACCGACCAAGAGTTGATCCGGTTCGCTGGACCAAGGGCAGAGTCTAATTTTTATCGAACAGCCCAGTCCAATAAGTTTATTATTTGAACACCAGTCATCATGATTCAGCAAACCATGAGGTTTCGGGAAATCAGAAGGCAGCACGAACAACAGCTCAGCAGCGACTACTGCGTCTTCGGGCACATTAGGATCTTATGACAGGCTCTCAGAATATTCCGCGCTCTATGATGGATGTTATCTAGCACAGCTATCTCAGCATCGGGTTCTATAACAGAATGCGGCATTTTTTGAATATCTAGCTGACTGGTCGCTCTACTGTACCGAAATTTCCAGCGGCTGCAACGGCACAGCAATGCACGATTCTGACCGTCAATACTGGCCATGAAAAACCTTGTCACTGGCCATCTGGGTATAATTTAGCGTGAGCAGGATGTTCCTTCCCAGATATCGCAGTGCCGTGAGCGCAGTGAGAAAAAAGATAAACAAAATATTGAAACTATATATTCGACCGCACACTTACACAGCTTCCGTGGACGAGAGTCAAAAAAGCTGTGCGCATAAGGCCCCGGACAGACTTCACGCGACTTAATCGTAGCGATCTAATCGCCAAGATTTCCATTCATTTTCATTTCACATTCAAAAATTTCGGGCTGGAAAAGTATCACAACCGAATGCAAGTTGATCGGCATGGAATGATGTTGTAACAGTTGTCTCGTCGCGATTTAGTCGCGACGATCAAATCGCGTGAAGTCTGCCCGGGGCCTTATGCTCAAAGGCACTGTCCACCCATAAATGATGGTGCTGAGATCCCGATGCCGACCAGTAGGGACGTTTTCACTTTGTAAGTGCCTAAGTGCAGCTACTGTGTTACCTCAAAATCAGCGTCCGAGCAGGTTTGACGATTCGAAAAAAGCATAGATTGCATGGACGCCCCCCCCCCCCTTCCACGAGGATGGGTCGCCAAAGTTTTGAAAGTTACTGTGGGCTATGAAAATGTGCAAGCTACTTGTTTATACTTGTAACTAATTGATGCAATTTTAAAAGTTTTTGAAAATCCAATTTAGCCTAATAATTTTTTCGGGGGCGTAGCTGCCCCCCACCATCCTTTTTCTGGAATTTCTGGGTTATGGCCCGCAATTTCAGGAAGCAACTAAAAAATTTTCGGAGGCGTGGCTGACGACGCCACGCACTATCATCGGAGAAAAATTTTTGTCGCCCCCCCCCCCCCTTCCGAACGGAAATCCTGGGTATGTCATGCTACAGACCACTCAATTGTTAGGCGGAATGGACACTCTGCATCTACGGGAGATTCTGAACCAAATATAGATCAAATCTAGAATCTCAGCTAGACATATAAAGTAAGAGCACTGCACATTTTTGCCTACGCTGATAAAACTGTTTTACCCATAACTTGCTTTTCGTAAAACTAGACTCGCTCCGCTTCTTATAAGCATCCGTTACCGCCTACTCGATAATGGAAAGGAATGAAGCCGTGAATGGCATGAATTTCAGCTGCAAAGAGCACGCATGCTGTTCGGATCACTGTCAGTACGACGACTAGCAATTGATGCTATCTTTCACGCAAATTTTTTTTATCATGAGCGCAACTGGAAGTATTCACTAGGAGATATACTAGAAGAAGAGCCATTTGAAGAATTAAGGAAAGGAGTACAAAAAACGGATGTGTTCTCAGTGGGTTTCGTAACAAGTAGCAGAGGAAGTGCGAATTATTTCGAAAAAAGCGATTTAATCATTGGTCACGCTAGAGACAACAACAAAGTTCGTGAATAGATAAGCAATGACACCTGAGCCTTTATGGAGCGGAGGCAGGTGATGGGTCATAATGAATCAGCTGTACTCAAAAGAAAAGATGGTTTCTCTTGAAACAACTATAATTGGAAGAAAGCCTGGCTCAGCAGGCTGTTAAATGGGAGGTCGAATCGATCGGAGAAGGCGGCGCTGGACGGCGACGTCGCCTGCGGCAAGGCGGGACAGTTCGAAAAAATGCAGTTGAGGAATTTATATCTTCGCATGCAATTTGCCAATTTGAAAAGAAAGGCAGTATGACATTAGAATTCTCGTGACAATATGATCTGGTGTTCAATATCAGTGGATGGAGTAAAAACATTTCTGCTCAAGTATCTGTAGAGAACTGAAAAAAAATCATTGATTGCTTTTGTATAGGTTTTGAACTTTAGTCAAAAGCGGTGTATCTAACAAACACAAAGGATCCAACAAAATCGGCAGCTGAAGTTGGCCCCATTCAAATCTACATAGTCGGCTGCGCGGGCGGTCGCGTCGCGCAGCCACTTTGTATGCCTGGGTCACGCTTGCTCAAGTCGCGCTCAGGAGTGAACATTTCACTGTCAATTTAGGATAGAACTCAATCAGGATAGAATGTTTTTTATTCTGGTTTTGATTTTCCGACTGCTTCTGCACTACTTCTTCAGAATCACCTTTTAATCTCTCGATTACTTGAACCCGTGCAGGATTGTCGGTTTGTGGGTTGAATGTGACGATTTGATTTACCAAGTCGGAACGTGCATATAAGGAAACACAAGTACGGAGAAGTGTCGAGTCGACCCCAGATGTGGATTAAGGCGATATTATAAGAGGATCAAGGCATTCGAATCTTACGGTCTAAGAAGTTCTTTGCTGTTTCCTTATAAGTGGATGTTCACTGAAACTTTCCAATCGCATTCACCGCCGACAATTTGTTCAGTTCTGAGTTTATCCTTCTTTGCCCATTACTTTTGAACATGTTTGATATGCTATCGTCCATTCCGAAACTTGGATACGAGTATGCTTTGCATACGTATAACTAACGAGTTAATGCATCGTTTCACCTAGTTTTTTGTGTAACTGTATTTGGAGTTTGAAAGACATCATCTTCTAAGGCAGTATGTGACTGTGTTCCTGGATATTTCACAGAAAAGTTGACCATTTATTCTGACAATGAGGCTAAAAGACTCGGAGGCGCTTTGCATACATATCTAAACAAGCCCGTCTGTGTGATTAGCAACTTTACACTTGTGATCGATCTATTTACTACTCTAAACTAGGGAAGAACAAAAGTACAAAGGCTTGCTGAGACAAGGTGTGCAAAGCATACTCGACTTTTCTAGTTTCAGAATAGATGATACCTATTTTCGATCCAAACGTGATACCAGCTTCAAGGAATGTGCACGTCGTATCAACTCGCACTCAGAACACGATAACCCCATCAAAAATTTGCGTTCCAGCAACCTGAGCAACGCTAACATGACCAAAGAAGCTTACTTAAGACGGAAAAATACCAAGACTAATTTTTTCTCCTATGGTTTTGATGTGAAAAAAAAATTCATCTGCGATAGCGCAGCTCTCGAAAGCAATGGGCATACCAAACATCCAATCTTGCTTCTTCAACACGCTATTTACGCGATCCCAGTGGCACAGCCTAGCCTTAGTCGAGCATATAACTCATCAAAAGAAAACAAGAACAGAAGAGATCACAAATGCCGGCCGAGAGCTCGGTCACAACCATCGTTCGAGCTTGCTTGCACAAATGTATGAAAACCCTTCACACTCTTCAAGCCGGTGAAGTGTCAGATATAAGAACGATTCACTATTCACACCGTTGGCGTGAAATTTTCGAAAAACGCATGAAGTGGTCTGACATAAGTGGCATTCTGCTCTCTAGTGGTCGAGAATGATGAGACGAGCAAGCATGACCTGGCGACAAAATTGTGCGCGCGACGCGACCGCTCGCGCAGCCGACTGTGTAGATTTAAATGGGGCCGCTGAAGTTTTCATTGAAATAAAAGCGAAGTGTACGAGTTACCTCGGCCTGTCACCCGATGTGCAAAAATTTCTCAAAGTGACGCGATTCTGACATTCCAGATGGACGATGAGCACTCAACTCCATCAACATCCAGCAGCTCAAACCACAGCCAATTAATCAAGGAGTTCAATCTGCGGAAGTTTGATAAGTTGGTGAAAAAGATGGGCAGGAAGTTGCTGCACAGACCTTGCGATAAAACCTTCGTGCCTTCAGCCACTCCACGTTAGTTTAATTTGTTTTCTTTGAATTTCCTATGCTGTTTTATTCTGCGCAACCTGCAAGGTAGATTGTTTCCCGGCAATATCCACGAGAGTAATTCATACATAAAATGATAGGAGGCGGTACTGCGAAAAGATTAGCGTTATCGTAATGAGCGAAGACCAGAAGCAGGAATTTTCATTGTTCAAAAACCATTGTTTCTTCTTCGAGAAGCATATAAACCGAAGCAAATGGTAGCTGACTACAATGTCAACTTCAGTTTGACATGCAAAAGAAAATGAGCGATCATCTCAAAATCAAGTGGTTGACGATAGCATTTGAGTGTCTGACTAACCTGTCACGGTACTTGTACTTTACGCATTGAAACCTCCCAGCTCTTTCTGGCTCCTAGGTTGAGAGTTTATCTGTACGCACTTTTACATCAAGCATCGAAGTCCAGCGGCCGGTAATCGTCGCATTGATTTGTACATTGCTGTTTTTGGTACATTGTTTACAGACCAAATGCGGGCGCTAACAAATGAAATAAGAATGAATCATCATTACCGGCTGTCGATCTGTTCACACTATCCCGCTGCAAACTGCATTTTCTAGGCATTTTTTATCGTTGCAGGATGTGCTAGCTGCACTTCTTGAAACTACCCTGTTCACTGTTTACCGTTATGATTTAGCACTGCTCATTGCTGAAACTGGACAATATTTGCTAATAATCTGCGTATTAGTATACTGCCTACATACAGAATACGCATTCGTGCGCAGCCCTTCTTCAAAGCTATAGGCGACTTATCGCACGCATAGACAGACCCCATTGCGGACACGTCGGCGTCTATCTGAATTAAAGCTCTCTCATTCCCCTAACTGTCTAACTTTTCTCAAACACAACTAGCCTAGTCCGACGCAACGGCGCATAGTCCCAACATGCAATGAGTTGCCTAGATAAGAATGCGGTAGCTTCGAAAGCACTAGTTTATCTGGTGTTGTCGTAGAGGGTTTATAGTATGCGGGTCATGCTAAGACGTTGATTTTACCGAAGAAATCTTATTCTATAAACAATTGCCAGCTAGTATCGCACTCCCGGAACGGCTTGTTGTTCGCAAATATCTTAGTGTCAGCATGCTGCTAATATAGACAATGTATTTCGAGCAGATTCAAAAATTTGTTTACTGTGTATCCACATAATGACAGAAAACGTCTACACAGTTGGTTTCATCCTTTTTATCAGCATGTCAAATCACTATCAATTCTTCAAACTATGAGAGTTGTACAACTTTGAAATAGCAGTTGGAATGATATATCAAAATGTCGCGAAAACAAAGGTGTTGATGTTTGAAGCGCAGGCAAGACTCCCACAGTCATCATCATGAGCGAGTTCCAAAAGAGCAGCGCTTTTGGATGGAGCCGAGGTGCATGTGAGATGTACTATGTACAAAAGTATATCATCTGTCGGTTGTATCCATGCTGATGCATAGTCGCGCACTTTCAATGCACTCTCAAACATTTCAGCGTTAGAGAGGCTGAAGCGTTTTCATTTCGTAGCCATCCACTCAAACAAGGTATATCTCTTTTTCCTATTAGCGCTCTAAACCGTCTGCTTGAGTTTTCAAATATAACACTGAATTTGCAATTCCTTTCGATTTGGTTCCGAACATCACTCTTCTGATTTTCCTAAACTTGGTTTGCAGATTGCCCAAGCCCCAAAGGCATGTCTCATTCCCCATCATCCGGGGATTCGAGCAATTTATCCGCTGAACGATCAGATCGCAGAAAATGTAGCGAACCAACGTTCGGTAAGTTAGCTTTTGTTCGCTAGTTCACTTATTCGCTTTCAAGAACATATTTATCTCCAATTCATAGGTATCGTCTCTTTCAGATTACAAGGTGTTCATCCTGGTAGGGGATTATCTTGGGTAGCTGCCGCGAACTCAGCCTAGAAACATTTAGCGCGTCATTGCATCTCCCGTAAATGATATTTGGACTATTAGCTTAGAGTGGTAGCAACTTTGAATCTGATACGGGCAGATTTTTGTACCTGAATGGAAATCTCTTGAGAGTACATCACCACTTTATTCTTTTTTTGGCGCGCCTCCTACATTAACCCAAATTCTTTTTGTCAGGGCTGAAAATCGAAACATATGGCGGCGAGGTAGCAGGATCGGGGTATGGATGGCTTACGGCGTCCGATATGCCTGAACCTTATCATAGTGTTGATGTTATTGCTTCCGTTACTCGAGGTTTGTCTGTCTACCATTGATTCACGCATCATCGTTCCATCCATTCTCAAGTGTGCAATATTAGCGCAACAAGTGGCGTTACAAATGGTGAAGGATCGGATTTCAATGACCAAACAACAGATCGAGTCATGTAGAGTTGATGAACGACTGATTAGCGACTTCATAGCTGATGCCTTCGCTGAGGAGATGAAAATGGTAAGAAATTAGCGGATTCGAATAATCAGACCTTTGCCTATTCAGAATCATTCTCCTAAAAGCTACACTGAGCTGCAAGAGGATGTGAAGAAGCTTGAAGAAGAAATCGAAGGACTTCGGAAAATCTCCCTCAAACCAATTCCACCTCCAAGTTGGTTTATGGGTCTTTTCAACGTATTTTTGATTTATCGTTACATCTTTATTTTCCTTTTTTTTGCTCAGAGTTATCTTATAAATTATATGCTTTTATTGGTAAACGGTTATAACTTGTGCTTGAAGCATTTCCATGCTTTTAATTTGTTGTGTATGATCATCTTTGGTGACACTTCTTATGCACAAACTAGGTACTTAGTTTGCGCCATCTCAGCTTCCAAGTGCTTTGTCACCGTCTAAAATTTTTGTACAAAAGGTGTCATACTAGTCCCTTATTGACAGTTCAGGACCTGCACGACCGAATCAGCATCTAACATGGATCTGTGTGCGATGCTTGGAAGAGAATACGGCATCATTCTACCGATGTCACTCTTGTTCATTTCCTCGTCCAGCAATTGATCCTCGTGAAGCTGTTAGATGCAACTGCCAACACTGCACTCCAGCATCAGGTAGGTTGTAGTGCACTGCAAAGTGTTGAACTATTTTCTGGCAGTATGTTATTGATTCGGCTTTCTTGACTTGATACCATGTATGTTGTAGCATTCTAGTGGAACGCATGTTCGTTTCGCCGACCCCTGGTGAAGGCGATTGGCTGTTGGTGAATAAACTAGGGACTAGCAATGGAAACGGAACTGATAATCCTCTCTGAGCTCTATGGATATGCCTTAGGTTTGTAGTTCCATTTCCATCTTATTGACGAGCAGGTTGTAAGAGGTGGTTATGAGATCAACAGATGGTCACGCGTTACAAAAGTCCACTTTATTTTGCAGTTACCATCGAATAAAGTTTCGGTTAGCATTGTGCTGTTTGAATGGCGCCTGTTTGTTGAGTAGTTATTTTGATTTTGCGCTGCAATGAAAAACCTATCTAGGCCAAAATTTATGATAGAATGCTTTTATCTAGCCCCAAGTCACCTTTAGCCATACACATCTGTACATCCTTGTTTGGTCAAAGCAGCCTTAAAGTACGAATTGTATAAAACTTTCTAGATTGCCACATTTTTTTAGATTTCTAATATCACATTTGTAAGACGAGCAGAAATCAAAGAAAACTCGCAAGATTATTTTTCAGTTGGTTAGGTCACGAATGCTGTAACAGTCATTTCCCTTTTAGCAGTAAGTTCAGTCATTGCAGGATTTCGCTGCCTAGTAAACATCATCCCGTCGCCGACATTCCATGAGTTCTACAATGGTTGCCAACTTATGTGGACATGTTTCTTATTTGTTTACTTCATTTACTCAAATTAGTTCTGTACATAGAAACTAAGCCATTCTACTTCTAGCAGTTTGTGAACGTTCAATGTTTCTCTAGTCGAAAATTATGTCCGTCACCACAGTTTCTATGACTCATGCAACTTTTCTTTGAACAAGTGTGCTGATAGCTTTATCTAGTCGTAGATAGTATTTATAATAGACCACAGATTATCCGCGGTCGTAATAAAGATTATGTTATTCTTCTTCACGCATATACTTGTTTTTTTCACTAAATACTTTTGGCATACGACGCTGTCTTATCACAATGCGAATGCTTTTTTTGTGCATTGACTGACTCCGTTCAAGGCAGGGGTAGTAACGTTGAGAAATGTGCTTACTCATTGTGAGGAATCACTCGTCGAACTCTTCGTTCACTGGTGTTGAAGCAGATTTTGGTTCAAATTTTTAATGTGTTTCTTTCACAATGCTAAGGAAAATATTATAGATGTCGACTGTGGTGGAGCAGCTCGTCGACATGGGCTTTGAACGGGCTCGTGCCGAATATGCATTCGCGCAGACAGGTAGAGGCGCATTGGAAACAGTCAGTTTTCATAATTTTTGCAGTTTGGTGCTGATCCTTCACTGTTTGTGCAATCTTGAAATTCTTGAAAGTCCGACGTTCATAATGTTCAACTGTTCTTGTCAAAAAAGCATAGCTGAGAAGTACGAATTGTACTGCAAGAGTGATGTTGGTATGTTTGCATCGCCCCAAGCTTGTTGCTCTCAGTCTTCATTACCTGCCTCGTTTTCCATCGGTCATATGCCCTGAGACAGCCACATTTTGTATCATGATAAAGAACACATAGTGGCAACTGTTAGCTACAATCCCTCTTCACTTTTACAGGCTATGGACTGGCTGATCAATCACGAAGGAGAGGAAATTCCAGCACCTTCCACTGATCATCATCCGAATGAAGAAGAAAAACCGGGCTCATCCGAGCTGACAGAGCACACGCCCGGCAGTTACAAATGCAACGAGTAGGAAGACATCTATTTCAGCTCTGCTTTTCTACTTGTTATTTGTTGTATGCAGTTGCAACAAGTTGTTTCGTGACGAGAACTCGATGATGTTCCATGCCGCTAAGTCAGGACATGAGAATTTTTCGGAAAGCACGCAGGTGAGCTTTTTTTGCGCTGGACTGAGAGAACTGTAAAATTCTCAGGTAATCGCTCCGCTCACTCCGGAAGAGCGTGCGCAGAAAGAGCGAGAGCTGCGCGATAAAATCAGAGCTGCTCGCGCCAAGAAGGAAGAGGAGGAGAAAAGGGAGCAGGTGTGGTAGACAAGATGTACTACATCCCATCATAGTATCATTCTAGATTGAAAAGGAACGAAGACGTCGTGAAGAGGGTAAGAAAATGTTGGAGACAAAAGAAAAACAGAAGGAGATGGAATTAAGGCAAGCTAGTTTTTCTGGTGTGCGATGTTAATGGCCTGAGTAAGACATACGTTTTGTTAGCGTGCACCCGCTACTTTCTGAATGCGATATAACTATTTTGGGCATATTACCCAAGCTAGGATCAAAGTAAAATACGTCTCTCATAGGACGGAAATAACATTAGGAAATGTTTCTTGAGATTAGATGTTTTATAGGCGTGCGCGCTTCCGTTCTATGGTGGTCGCTAGAATTTATAAAAAATTGCTGTGAGTAGGTATTCTACAGGGTGTCCCAAAAAAATGTTTAGAACGTTTGATCGTTAATATCTCTCTTCCCAAGAAGTCTTTTGCCTTGCTTCAGGTACCGTTTTGTAGAGCTGGCTTCAACTTAGATTTCCATTATAGAACGAATCACCCATCTCTCTTCATTACTGTAGGATTACGGTAGAAACTTCAAAGAGGGTTTTGAACCATGAAAGGCCATATTTTGCCTCAGAAAGGAAACAAAACAGCCTGAAAACTTTTACACCAGGCTAATTAGAATTGCTGATTATAACAGTAAACTTCCCAACTTATTATGATGCTTCATTGAAGAGTTATGCCAGGTGAGAGGTAGCGGCCTTTTTTTCAATGTTCCTAAAAAGTGCGATTACACCGTTTAGAAAGCTTCGTAATCTTGTGAATAGTTGAGTATTGAACTCAACTAAAAACCCTATTACACAAGTTTTCACAATTTTTTGAAAAATTTTGAAACGGCAGCTTTTTCCACATTGACACCATATGTTTCAAGTTTCTACCGTAATCCTACAGTAATGAAGAGAGATGGGTGATTCTTTCTATAATGGAAATCTAAGTTGAAGCCAGCTCTACAAAACGGTACCTGAAGCAAGGCAAAAGACTTCTTGGGAAGAGAGATATTAACGATCAAACGTTCTAAACATTTTTTTGGGACACCCTGTATATCTCTCATATCGCATCGTAGTAGTGAGCGTGATAGAGTCATGATCCAAGTTGTATAGGCGATTCGTAGCACGCAAAGACTGCGGACATATCCGTCTCACTGATCGAGTGCCCTTTCGTTTCTCTTACCATCTGCTGTCTTCCCATACACAAACTATCTTGGCCGGACGCAATGCACCCAGTCTTTCCTTGTCATGAATCGTGTATAGGTTTCTCACAGTGATGTCGCAGCCAAAAACTGATTTATCGCAACATCTCATTTTTTTCTCACAATGACATGACTCACTACTGCTATCAATTGTAGTGAATTGTAGCACTCTCTTGCCGGGGCGGTGAATAGATGGCTTGCTTTGATTTTTGAGTAAGTCGTGTTATTTCAGGGCTCTTGTTGAGGAACGCAAGAGAGAGAAAAGGGAAGAAGAACTGGCTCGACAAAGGGTGCTGGACCAAATCAAAGCTGACAGGGTTTATAATTTTCTTCTCAACATATTCTTTACCTAACCTGCGCTAAGCGGCCATTGAATATGCTGAAAAGGAGACTTGACGTTCGGGAAATGTCTGCAGAAAATAGAGTATATTGTTTGTTTATTTGACTCTTGCCACTTGCTTAGCGTAAAAACTGAGACTGCTCGAAACGCCTGCGGGTCAATAATGCGGTTTAACGAATTTGGTCGAAGCGTATTGTTTTTTTTCCTAGGAAGCGCGTAAAGCAGCGAAAAGTGGCGTTCAACCGACTGCTCCTCCTAAACCAGCTCCTGCTCCTTCTGCGGCGTCTGCTCCTACTCACGATTACAAAGAAACGACTATCCAGGTGGGTTACTGAACATTATATTTACATAATCATTGGCAACACAACGTGGCAACACATTCCTCGTTATTCTCAGTCTCATTTCTGTAATTTAGGTGCGGCTGAAAAACGGACAAGCGGTACGACAAAAGTTTGGAGCATCTGAGCCGGTAATCACACACTAGTTATTTTCCTTCTATGAGTATTTTGAACAGATTCATCTCGTCTTAGCTAATATCCTTTCGGTCTAGAAGAATTTTTATGGCACACTAGTTGACTTACCCGGCTCCGCCCGGCCCTGTCATTATTATATTCGTAATCAGCATGCTCGATTACTCCCCTTGTGCCAACTCCCAGCCCCGTAGCTCAAATTTTGCAAAAAATCGATAAAATCGATATCGATCGATGACGAAAAGTAGCCTATGACACCCGCCGGGGCCCGAAGTGTATGTGTGCCAAGTTTGGTCCGGATCGGTTCAGAAATGGAATTTTCTATTCGGAACATACGTACACACAGACATACATACGGACAGACAAACAGACATTCACCTTTATATATAAGACTAGTAAGATGTTCTATACAACAGTACAGGAAAATAGCTTTTAGAGCTATTAAACAGGCAATTTCATCTTACTCTCTCAAATAAGAACAGTTTTGCGGACCTATGCTTTTTTCTAGTCAATATGATGTGTAGTGATCAGATAGTCTATTCTTATTAGCCCAAGTTTTTTTAAGCGTGATCTCGATCGAGAAAAAATTTAACTCCCAGTTTCAAGCTCGATTAATGAATCTTGAACGTTAGAATGCCACCTTCATCGTCGGAGCGTTAAATGCCATAACTTACGAATGACTTATTTTTTCAAACACGTGTGATCACAGGGGTTCAACATCTCGAGAGTGTGATTATCTTCATTAAATCCGAATCTTGACGCTCACCTTGGCTCTGAAAGGTTACTTTGGCGCGAGCTTTATCAGGGTGGGCGCCATTATACTCTAATTTTCAGGGTTGGCCGGACGCTGCCTGCAAGGTAGAGCTTCAAAAACAAAGCAAAGCAAGCTCTATAAGATGGCTATCTCGCTTTTGCAACAGCTCTGATCCATCTCGAGTTTCAAGGCGAAAACAAAAAAGATTCAACTGTCCGAGAAATTGAGAAAAATCATAACTTTGTTCGAAAAAATCCTACAAAAATTCTAACTTGCTCGCATGAACACTATCCATCCAAGACATTTATAGACGCCAATGCCGTATTTTTTTCTCAATTAAAAATTAAGAACACGAAGATTTTCATGTTTCTGCTAGACGCTCTGCTGTTCCTACATAGTTGTTTGTGTACTACTAACCTGTAGAAGTACAAACACCAATTTCCAGCTCTCTACAGGCACTAGTTTTTGAGAAATATGGATTTTGGTGTAAGGCACCCAACTAAGGCAAGCTGTATTCGTTTCTCGAGAACCAAAGCTTGTAGAGATCTGAAAATTTATATCTGTACTTCTACAGACTAGTAGTCTACAACTGTCTATGTAGGGACATAGCATCACTTTGGCAAAAGCATGAAAATCTTCGTTTTCTTGGTTTCTGGCCGAGGAAAAAAAACGGCAACGGCGTATATAAGTGTATATGGATATTGTTTACGCGAGCAAGTTAGAATTTTTGTAGGAGTTTTTTGACGGAGTTATGATTTATTCTCGATTTTCCGGGCATTGGATCTTTCTAGTTTTCGTCTTGAAACTCGAGATGGACCAGAGCTGGTGCAAAAACAAAAAAGCCACCTTGTAGAACTTGCTGTGTTCTATCGAATAGTATCTTGCAACCTATTCGGAAGCGACAATTGTATGACTTATTGCGGTCGAAATTCAAAACTGGCGGAACTTATGGGACAATCTGATAGAAATCGCTATCTCAAATAGAAGCTCACGTTCGTAGAAGTTCATTCAAAACTTAACGTAGGTCTAGCTTAAAGCAGTAGAAATCTGTTAACGCATCACACCATTCAAAATGCTAAGATCAGCGCTTTTGAATTCTTCAACATTGCAGCTAGTTTGCAAGAGCATCGTTGTGCTGGAAATTCCCTAACCCTGAAAGACATTGTCTCACCAAAATTTTTGCCTACATTCTTGCATTTTGCAAGCCTATCGGACTCTGTCTAACTCTGTAGGGGCGAAAATTCCAAGATCCCGCGTGGACGACTTGTGCCTTCTAACCTCAGCCTCCACCATAGTGGCTGCAACATAATGGAAGTGGACGCTAATCGGAGATAAATGTCAAAACGCGTACGGGGGACTTCGGGGAAGTCGCCCGCGTACTAGATCCCTCTGCATACCACTTTAAGCGCATTTTTCTAAGCGTGGAGAGCGCTAAATTAAGTCGGACTTGTTGCAGTGGCATATCTAAGGGGCCCTCTAGTAGAATGTGTGGAGTGGAGATCCGCAACCCTAATTTTGGTGAGACACTGCATTTGAGACAGGGGATTCTACCATCCCACGAGAACGATTGGTGACTCGCTGCCTACTGTAAATCTAATTGTAAGTTGCAGCCAGCTCAACAGAATGACATTCAAAGTGGGCGAAAGAGTTCAGAACAAAAAGGATATCCAATCAAACAAGGGGCTTTTTTTTTCAGACGCCCTGTACGTATTGAATCTTATAGTAGATCAAATCCGGAAACCATGCGAAAAGCTGTTCATTGCAGCGTCCTCTCTAATTGCGTTATCTTGGCTACGGTTATCATTGGAATACGTAGGGCAAGTATCTCGAATTCTTCCTGATGATTGCGACATCTATGCCAAAGTATTGTTTCAAATGACTTTTGTCTGCATTGTGCGCCTCCTGGGGGCTGGATTTAGATTTCGTGGACCATATGGGTGCTTCTTCGTACCTTCATGCAATTTGTGCATGGACTCTGGAGTGGTTTATTTGACCAGTCACTTGTAGGCAGCAGTACCCATGGAATAAGGCGGGCGATAGACTCTTGTGTATGGGAACCAATAATTGTCATCCAAATCAACATAAAGACATTCAAATAATCAGCTTCCAGAAATGTCACATTCTTGACGCGTGAATTGAAATATGCCTTTAAAACACTAATTCATCTTGGATAACATATGAATGGAAAGGGAGAGGAAGTTGTAATAAACGACAATCTCATGTTTTGAGGTTAGATCTACAGTTGTTTAAGCGTGCTTGGTGGTTCAATGACTAACGGTCAAACCATATGTGTAGTGGTTCAGCTGAATTCAGTTTAACAAACTGCAGAGAAGAGCGTTTTCAAATGTCACTGCTTTTATACATCCCGTGATGTTGAAGTACCCTTGCGCTCATACATGGTATTCGTGAAGATAATATAAGTTTCGGCCCCTCCAGGTATCAACGGAAATGATCGGACGAAACGTTAGGCTATTTGATGAAGCACGTTACAATTCTTGCTTCACGTAAAAATTACAAGCAATGTAAATCGCTTTCTTACGATCAGGTTCCTTTTGACTCTTGAACCGTACTTTGAAGTCTACAACCTTTCCAGCTCTCTGCTGTGCGACTTTGGCTAGAGCTGAACCATTCGGATGGAACTCCCTTCAATCTGCTACAACCATTCCCTCACAAAGTCATGACTTTTGATGACTATGAAAAACCTCTGAAGGAACTCGGTCAGTCTTGCTTAGTATCTTTGACTGAAGCGTCAGCAGTCTAAATCCTTAATTTCAGGGTTGGTGCCTTCTGCCAACTTCGTGATGACTCCAATGACAGGAGTGGTTCGCGAGATAAATTTTCACCCATAATTTCGCAATTGTGCTTTTATGCAAGTCTCAGTATTTTTGCTGTTCCTTCCATAATAGAAACTCGATGAGTGGTCTTTTTATAAGGAGTTTACATGAAGAATTTTGTATAAAGTATTTTAATGGAGAAAATAAAAATTCAGTACGCCTGTAACGGTACGGGAAGATGAATGAGAATTGTGCAAGAAAGCATTGCTGAATCAAATAGCTCTGATTGAGAATTTTGCAAGTACGTCTGAACCATAGTAAAAGGCAGCGGCTCAGCAGAGTGACAACCTTGAGATAATCATCGTTCTCGGATCCCCAAGCGAGCTAAATCCGAGACTGTGCTTTTGCAGTTTCAAAAGATAGCAATAATCCGCATTTCCAGACTCAAAAGTGCTATTTGGCAGAACGGCGTAAGACTGCTCTTTAGAGCGCAATTGACACGTGAGTGGACACGCCGTACCCATCTCGGCGGCAACACTACCTGAATTCGAAATTGGTACAACCTTTAGTGGTATAATTACGTTCCAAAATCGTGCTCAGACGCTGCAGCGCGTCGTCGATGATCTTGTTCGCTCTATCACTCATTCAAATGGATAGAATGTTACAGAATGTTACAGTTAATACAGTTTCAAACCAAACTCATCTTAATCTAATTTCCAAGATCTCGCTTATTACATGTGAGGACTAAAGAACTATAATTTTCTCTATGTGTGAGATGCTTTGTTAGGTTGAAGTAAACTCCTTTTTTGTAATTTTAAGCTGTTTTTGTTTTCCTAGTAGACTTGGGGTACCGTTTGATAGAGCAGATCAAGCTCTACAAAATGACCTCCAAGGATCCGTCCAAGTCGCACCTAAGTGAAGTTTGAAGACATCGAAAAAACTTTGTTACCTGAAAATTGAATTTTTGCGGGGAAAATTCGTACGGACCTCCAACTTGGTCATCATACCGTAGGCACAAAGTAGTACTCAAATATGCCTACACTGGAGTTTTTCCGCACATAGAAAGCGAGAAAAAAATGATAGTCCAAAATGGCAGACTCCACCCTAGTCCCCCCTCACATATGTCGTTGTATATTACAAATCCTAGTAAGTGTAATGTTAAAACTTTACCCCTGCGTGAGGGAACTAACTGAGGGATATCAAGCATAAATAACCCCAAAAAAGTGGCATTTTAGAATTTTCAGACCATCTTTATTTTTCACTTTTGAGTTCCGGAAAAAATTCAACACATACACGAGAATCTCGTTTAGACGTTGTCCTCCGGCTCGCAGAAATTCGAAAGAAAGATGGTCTGGTCTTGGAGGCGTGGACGTCTTCAAGGTCTGGATCGCCGTGCACACTTTAGCAGGTAGAAGGCGTGGTGGTACTTCTCCATTGGGGAACAATTGGCATTGGCACGGGTGTTGATGAGCAGAAGAGCTTGGTGTAGAAGTTCTTCGCGATAGATTCCATCTTGTATCGGGAAGAAGTCGGAGTCCCGTCTTCCTTCAATAGTGCAGCCAGCGGTACGTGATATTCACAGAGGTCCCTTCGGCATTTCTTAAGACTTCGTCTTCTTTCGGCTGCTTCCATTATCTTGGCTTGCCGTACTTCCTGGGATCTTTCTGCAAAGCTGTTATGCAATGGTGTTGGCTATCAGTCGCTTGAGATGGGTATTCGGATCCTGCCTCAGAAATCTTCTTCTTTCGAGCAATTCCTTCGTGGTCTTCGAAATACGTTCCAAGTTCTTTTCATAAGTCACTGAGGCGCACTCTCCGCAGGCTCGCTATCCTTTCAGAAGCCGGTCGTAGTCGAACGTTGAGTCCTCCTCGATGGGCTAGTCACAATTTGATATGAGCTCTTCCACCCTGTCGTCATAAACGACTTCCTTCCTTCTTGCGGCACTGTGACAGACCTTCTTTCGCAGCTTTCGGCTGAATTGTATCTTCGCTCAAAGCAGGCGGTGATCGGAGTTAGTGCAGAAGGATGGAAATACTGAGACTTTCTCCTCTTCAAGAAGGGTGGACGGGAGGATCTTCGGAACTACCTCCAATGTGCCTGCTGAGTGTGCTGTAAAAGCAGGGACAAGGATCAATGGCAACTTCTGTACTGGGGCCCGCACATCACATGAGGAAGGGCCACCTAAGTTTCCAAGTAAGTAAGTTGCAAGTCCTTAGGAATTTTCTGGAAGGAGATCCGATTTTTAGGGTAGCTGAAAAATTTTGGGTTTTGGCTCCAAATTTCACCTGCTTACGACTTAGGTGGATCATTGGTGGTATTTCTGTGAAGTTTGCCCCGCTCTATTGACCGTACCCGTCTACTGAGAATACAAAAACAGCTCAGTTTATGTGAAAATGGAGTTTACCTTTGTGAAACCTAACAGAAGGCAAACTGAGGGATACTACTTTTTCCCGTCGCAGATGTTCGCGTTGACCACCTTCTTTCGGCGACATGGCCTCCATCCCACACAGATTTTCTCGCACTCAATCGAGTTGCTCCAAAAAGAAACAATTAAACCTTGCGCCAAATTCAGACTTGCTAGCACTTCAACTATGCATGTTACTGACACGTGTATCTATTAGAACTTAAATGAAGATATATGCTTTACTCACATTACATGCCGCATACCTGACACGCGATACAAGGATAAAATTGTTTGAAGGCGTAATGCTCTGTCATGCTTTGCTGGCATGCCTCACGCAGTAGCGCGTATGCCAATCACAGGCATAAATATTGCACATGAGCAAGATACACAATTGAGATACATCAACACGACAAGGCAGTCTTTGTAAAAACATGCCAAGCAAGCTGCAGCACAATTCAGCAAACGTTTTCAGTCACAGGTCAATTACAATTCGTCAAAGAAATTTTTCCGTTTTATGACACGGTAGCGCTTCAAAAGACAGTACAGACGTGACCAATACTTTCGAACAATCATCAGACATAACAGAGTTCCTCGCAACTTTGAAGCAATCTTATATACAGGGTGTCCCAAAAAGATGTGCACACTGTTTGATTTTGAATAACTCTCTTAGTATGAGGTCTTTCGAGAAACGGTAAGCGCCATTTTGTAGAGCTGGCTTCAACTTAGATTTGCAGTATAGAGCGAATCACCGACCGCTCTTCGTTACTGTAGGGATACGGTAATGGTGTCAATGTGGAAAAAGCTGCCGTTTCAAAAATTTTGAAAAAGATGTGAAAACTTGTGTAATAGGGTTTTTAGGGACGTTGAGTTCAATACTCAACTATTCTCAAAATTGCGAAGCTTTCTAAACGGTGTAACCGCACTTTTTACGAACATTGAGAAAATGGCCGCTTCTGCTTACCTCGCATAACTCTTCAGTGAAACATCATAATAGGTTGGGAACTTTACAGTTAGAATCAGCAACTCTAATTGGCCTAGTGTAAAAGTTTTCAGGCTGTTTTATTTCCTTTCTGAGGCAAAATATGGCCTTTCATGGCCAAAACCTTCTTTCAAGTTTCTACCGTAATCCTACAGTAACGAAGAGCGGTCGGTGATTCGCTCCATACTGCAAATCTAAGTTGAAGCCAGCTCTACAAAATGGCGCTTACCGCTTCTCGAAAGACCTCGTAATAAGAGAGTTATTCAAAATCAAACAGTGTGCACATCTTTTTGGGACACCCTATATAAAGCTGAATGTCTATTCGTATGTCTGTCTGTATGTCTGTCTTCTGTGTGTACGTATGTTCCGAATAGAAAATTCCATTTCTGAACCGATCCGGACCAAACTTTACACACATACACTTCGGGGCCGGGCGGATGTCATAGGCTACTTTTAGTCATCGATCGATATCGATTTTATTGATTTTCGAAAACTTCGAGCTACGGGGCTGGGAGTTGGCACAGGGGATAAGTGAGCATGCTGATTACGAATATATTTTGATAGGGCCGGGCGGAGCCGGGTTTGCCAACTAGTACTTCATATTTTTAACGTGCATTTTCCTCACGCTGATCATCACGCTGATCACAGCAGCCAGAGAATGCTGAGAAATGTACTCATTTCCAAGTAAGAGCTTAGAGATGCAACATCTACGAAAATATCAAACTTGCAGTACCGTCGCCACAAAGCAACCATTTCCTTTGTCTCACATCTTCATACGCACGATGTATTTATCTTCCGTTACCGCTAACGAAGAAAAACGCTCGTTTTCGGTGTTTTCAAGCTCTCAAAAGTGGATTTTTGGTATCAGCGTATTAAATAACCCCAAGTAAGCGAAAATTTGACTAGGTTGGAATTTGCCAAGCCACTGCCTTTAAATACTGTCATGGGAGCAAAAAGACTATTCGAGTAAGGATGAAAACCAAGAGAATGCGGTTGCCGGTACTACAGTCGCGCGTCATGACAATTTTCGAGTGCCTTATATGAAACTCATTTCTTCAAGGTCTAACAAATTTGAACAATTACAAATGTGGCAGATGAAGAAAGCCAACAGAGCCCGCACACGCAAAGCATCGAAAAGAAATTAGAGGAGGACGCAGGAATTGAAGCCAAAGGTGCAAGAAGAAGTGGAGAGGCCGCAAGTGAACACAGCGAGCCCGAATCAACCCTCGGGCCAACAAACCTCTGCTCACCTGAAAGGACCTGCCTGCTTAGTTTCTGTGCAGCAACCTATGTCGGCGCTGCAGTTGGAACTAAACTGCGGGGGTAGCAGACAGGTAAGGTAGCAGACAATTCCAATCGAAGTGGATTTGAAGAAGATTTTGGAGATCCAAAGTAAAAGAAACAATAGATTAGAATGAAGGATCTCGACAAAAAATGAAGACGTTAATCAGTTATAACAGCAAAAGATCAAGCATCTTCTCAAGGTAAAGTAGAGAGCCTAGTCGATTTTGGAGAGTGCGTTTTTGGCAGCACCGAATTAACAAGAACACATTCTCCTGTTCACCGCGACGACGTCCAGAGCACCTCCACAACGTCCACCAATGGAACAATGGAAAGAGCAGGTAACATACTATCACACCTCTCTCTAATTGTGTTTTCTGCAGTAAATTTTACTGGTCCATAGACCTCCTAAGTCACTTAACATTGACTGACTAGAGAACGCATAGATCGAAAAAAGATATTAGAGCTGCTTAGTTCCAGCCATGCACATGGGAACGTGTTATCTTTCCCAAAAGGCAATGAAACTGTAGGATATGGCGCGACATTATTTTTGCCAGTA